GCGCTAAACTCACTTTGTAGCCCAGGCTGCCTCGAACTCGGTGATCCTTCAGTCTCAGGGTCCCAAGTGCTGAGAATACAGGTTTCTGCCACCATGCAGATTTGAATAAGCAAAACTATTGAAGATATTGGTGTAGCAAGAACTTTATGAATAAAACCCCATCACACAGGAACTATCACAAAGGATCAACAACTGAGATGTCATTGTGTTAAAAAGCTTTCATGCAGGAAGAGAAACCACCAACAGAGTAAAGAGACAACCCACAATGTGGAAAGAAATGTTTTCTGGCTATTCCTCAGACAGAGATTTACTCTTGAGAATGTATAAAGAACTCCCCCCGCCAGAAAAAAAATCAGATCTCCAAAATGTAAAGACCTAAGCCAAAAATAGGCACAGGAGATGAGTATACACTCAGTTTAGGGCCGCCTGAACTGAAGTAAGATCATGTCTCAAATGAATATACACTTTCCAGATGAAGAAATACAAACTTCAGGCTGGGGAGATAGCTCAGTAGAATAAGTGCTTGCCTGGCAAGCACAAGGTCCTGAGTTCAGTCTCCAGTACCACAAAAGGAAGGAAGGAAGGAAGGAAGGAAGGAAGGAAGGAAGGAAGGAAGGATAAAACTAAAAGAAATACAAGCAAATAAATAGATGAAAAAATGTTCAATGTCACTCTTTACTCTAGAGATGCAGATTAAAATAACACAGAGATTCTGGAAAGAAAGAACAGCTATCATGAAGAAGTCAGCCAATAACAAATGCTAGAGGGGCTGTCAGGAAAAAGGAACCCTTTTCCACGGCTGGGACTGCTGGTACAAACTCTGTCAAAAATCACTGTAGAGTTTCCTCAAAAAACTAGGACTGGAGGTTTGATTTGAGCTAGTTAGCCCCGCTTCTAGATGTCTTCCCAGAACAACTGAAACCATAACACCAGAGAGATATATGTGCACCCATGTTTATAGCAGCCCAATTTGTAACACCTAGACCTTGGAACCCCCCAAATGCTCATCATCCAAGGAATGGATAAAAAAAAAGATGTGGTCGTTTTCTACTATAGAGTACTATTCAGCCATGAAAGAATAACTGGAAACGTGCTTAGCTAAGTGGGCGCAACGTGAGACCGCACTCGCCAACCAGAGGCATATATGTAAACCCCTATTGGCTCCCTAGTGGGAGAAGCTCAAAGAGAAAATGTGATCCAAAGTGTACAATAGATATTGTAAAATAGGAACAAATCTTGAAAGGAAAGAGAAACTGGTTTAGGGAATGGGAAATGAAGGAAGGGAAAAGCTAAGATAGATAGGTGGACAGATAGGTAGATAGGTAGATAGATGATAGATAGATAGATAGATAGATAGATAGATAGA